TGACTTGGGACACCACAAATCTCCCAAGTGGCGACTCTGAACCTTTAAATAAAATCCCGTTTCAATCGTCCTTTAATTGGAAAAACTCCCTTTACGTCCCTTAGCGGGGGTGTAGGTGAAAAAGGAGGTGTGACACCCCTCCCTGTTGGCACTCTTCTGCCCCTCGTCTATACTCTCTACTAGCTTCAAATATGCAGCTTTTTTTGCTTCCACTTTTCCTTGCACCTCTTCATTCCACCACTAGTCCCCTTTATGACTCCCAGAAAAACCCTTTGAGATCCCCCACCGCCTCTCTCGCCGCCTCTCTAATACAATTTGCTGTCATTTACCACATACAGCTCGCGTCCCTGCTACTCCCCTAGGCCCCCAGAGCCAACAACTTCTCCCCCAACTCCTGGGCCTTGTCCTTATTCAATGCACCCCATGACCCTAGGAATACCAGACATAGCCCTCCCCTTCCTCGTCCACCTAATCTCTAAGTCCATTATCAAAAGCATATGTTGGGTCGTAAAGTTCTCACTCGGGATGACCTTGCAATCCGTGCATAGACCTCTATCACATTTCTGGAGAACCAGATAGGCAATCTGGGTCTTGTCCACCGTACTCCGAAAAGTTATCAGGTGCTCCGCCTTCTTCGAGAAACACGAGTTAGCAATCACTAGCTCAAAAGCTTTAGCATACTCCAGCAGCGAAGTACCTCCTCCGTTTCTATCTCCAAAACCGAAGCCACCATGCACACCAGCATATCCCTAGGCGACCTCCCTATGTGGTCGTTAAAATCACCCCTATAATAAGCTTCTCGGTGGACGGTATTACCCCGCACCAACCCATCCAAACTTTTGTGCTCAATAACTTAATATTTTTCATGTTCTTAAATTTCCCATCTTATTGCTAAAGAGTACTCCTTCTGTTACATTATATACCACAAAGTTGATTGCGGAAATAAAGAATTTAGTACATAGCAACTTATAACTTTAAATTTGTCATGATATACATGGATATAAGAGTATTTCATTAAATGTAAAATTAAAAAAATTAAAATTAAAAAAAATAAAATATAAAAATAGCAAGTTTAGAATAGATTAAAAAGAAAAAATGTAGTATAAAATAGAACAAATTACAACAACTACCGAGAATTTCACAAGTGGGATCTAGAGAATATAATGCGTACGCAAAACTTACCACTATCTTGTAAAGGTAAAAATGTTGTTTCAAATAGACCCTTCCCTCTAGGAACAAAATAAAATAGAGTAGGTTGAGTAATATAATAAGCTGTGAGATTTACTTGAGAAATTGTGCTTCTGACAGAACAAAGACACGAAACAATGAAATTGCTGTTTAAGCCTTCGTTGAATGGGGCACATTTTCAGTCGTGAGCAGAAAAGATACTAGTATATCATGGAGTCCAATGTCACCATTGGCCAAGTCAGGAGAATTCTTGCTAGAAGACATAATCTAACGTAACAATGGAGTTGATTCCACATTGGGATAGGATGAGCAGACAAATATGGTTATTTGAATTTTTTCTATAACAGTAGCATATTTCTCGGTTAATACCTGTTATCTTCCACAATATTGTACCAAGTAAGAAAAATCACCTATTGTAATTTCATTGTTGGAAATTGAACCCTGGTCTTCAATGGGCCATTTGATTGAACATTAGCACATACCCTTAGATACTTGTTTAACCATCTTGCAGATATAAACGAATACTAGACAAGGTCTGGAATGCATCGACACTGGATTTGATGTTAATTTTACAGAGAAAGGTAGCATTAACCCAGCATATAATGAACTAATGCATAAGCTAGATGGTTCTATTTTGAATGCGGGTGCTGTTACAGGTCACTGGAACGTGATAGCCACATCCAAGTAATCTCCAATCTGCAGGGGTTAAAAACAAGTCAGAATCCTACATGCAATTGATGCTACCATCTAAACAAACTCAGTGCAGTTCAATGGATACTTCACCATTGCCCATAAGGAAAAAAAACATATGGATAAAGTTTACCTGAAATTTTAGTTCACTCAAGCTTTTGCTGCCACTATCAGGTCGTCTCCCATTTGGATAAGAGTATGTTCTCCCCACCTTCATAACAGATAGAAAACCCGAATTAGGCCAGTATTAGCTTTTCCTTGATATGATTAGGGTGAACATGGTTAATAAAAGGAACAGTCAGCGGAGTACAGATTACAGACATAGTTATAAGCTGTACCATCCAACACCCTATATTTAGGCAGAACGTTCCACCACCCCAGAACTCTATAGGATGGAACACTTCAACTACCTGCGAATTATTCCAAATCCCAAAATTTCCTAGTTTTCCTTCATTTTGTCTTCTGAAATAAATTAAGATTATACGGGAAATTCGAAATGGCATCATACTGAAATGATTATCAGCTAACTAATTGATTGATTGATTGATATAGTTCTGCTCATTACAAAAGCCGAAGTATGAAGATGTAGGAACCAACACAAACTCATTTCACCATGTTTTGACATAATTTTTTCAATATCATCTGCCTGTATCTTTGGTGATAATATCCTCATTAATCTAGTTCAAGCAGGAATTAAGAGTCAAGAGATATGAACTGCATTTCGAAATGGAGACTCATTACAGCTTAAAGAAAGTTAGAGGAAAAACGTGACAACCAAAACTCTTATATAATCCTCCCAGAAGAGAAAAAAGGCCAGATGATAGCTTGCAGCAATTTTTCAAGTTCTCGCACATTAGCAACCGAAGTTGGTTGGCAAAAGCTAGAGTAGAAATGTGTAAGTAAAGAAATATTTAACAGCTCCAAATCAGCAGATAAAGGTAAATTGAATGTGGAAGACAAACAAGGCAAGTTCAGATAGTGCTGAACTGAGACATTATCACATATACTAGACTCGAAGTCCATGGAAATTGAAAGGTGGACACTCTATCTACCAACATTTTAGAAGGTTTTAGTCAATAGAGTGAGTATCCCCTCCTTTAGTTCTGCATCCTCAATTTTCATCTGGTAGAATGTAAATATTAGTATATCATTATCAGATAATGACATCTTACACTAAAAATGGAAATGGTCAATAGGCACAGGGTAAGATGCACATCATCAATTTCAAAAAACAAGCCGCACCATTGATCGTTTCTCAATGCTTAAAAGTAGGTGCACAACAACCCCACCCCCCATCCAAAGGAGCAATGAGGTTACATTAACACATATATAAGAGATGGGAGACAGACCTCTCTAACCACAAACCGCCCTCGTTTATCAGGATACACAAAAGCAAATGACAAACTTGCATCTCTTCGTCTTGCTTCTGGAGCTACCTCTTTAACCTGCCAAACAGTTCAATGAATGGATGCAACATAAATAACTTAAACATTTCCCACATAAGTAAAGTGGGTCACAAAGGAAGGCGAAGAAAGTTGCAGCACAACCACTAAGGCAAACACTAAAAGCTATCCACTATATTGCCGCTTTTTGGTTGGCAATCTGAGTCATCTGATACGTCTAAGTCTAATATACAATGTAGAATACTACTACGTTTGTGAAGAAAGAAAAAGTCTGACCTAACTTTCAATTTTTGGAGAAAATCAGATTTGACAAGCTCAACACCAACTGCTCTTGACTGTCATATTTGAGATTCTGATATTCCAACTCATATCACCTCAATGGAGTTAGGACCCAAAATGGGTGGAAAAGCCGGAAATGGGTTGT